TGCAAATTACCCAACCAGATGCGGCCAGCAGCTGCAGAGTGGAGCAAGCAGGAGGGTTGTTTGCCCGGCGATGAAGGAGCCAAAGCTCCCCGCCTGCCCTGGGCTGCTGTGGCCTCCACTCCAGGCAACAAGTTTCCAATTTAGGAGATAAATAAATCCCAGATACCCTGCTTCCAGCCAGCCTCCACTGGGAGCTTGGGTGGCTGTGGGCCGTGGCCAGCCTGCAAACAGCCATCAGCCCCTCACCCAGGATGGCCACACTCTCATGGGGTGAGGGTCCCCACTGGGGGCCTTGACCAGCCTGCAAACAGCCATTAGCCCTTCACCCAGACTGGCCAGGTACCCCAGCAGGACCCCCACCCTGAAGAGAGTGTGGCCAGCCTGAAAACGGCCCTTAGCCCCTCACCCAGACTGGCCAGGCACTCCAACGGGGACCCCCACCCTGAAGGGGGGTGTGGCCAGTCTGAAAACGGCCCTCAGCCCCTCACCCAGGCTGGCCAGGAACCCCAGCGGAACCCCCACCCTGATCCGGGACACCCTTCAGGGCAAACCAGCCGGCCCCCACCCATGCACCAGGCCTCTATCCTATATAATAAAAGGGTAATATGCAAATTGACCCTAACAGCAGAATGACTGGGAATGTCTGGTCACTATGACACACACTGACCACCAGGGGGAAGACGCTCAATGCAGGAGCTGCAACTTGGTGGTCAGTGCGCTCTCACAGAGGGAGCTCTGCTCAGTCACAAGCCAGGCTGACGGCTCCAGTACAGCGGTGGTGGTGGGAGCCTCTCCTGCTTCCTCAGCAACGCTAAGGATGTCCGACTGTAGCTTAGGCCTGTTCCCCGCTGGCAAGTGGACATCCCCCGAGGGCTCCCGGCCTGCCAGAGGGATGTCTGACTAGCAGCTTAGGCCCAATTCCCTGGGGAGCGGGCCTAAGCCAGCAGGTGGTCATCCCCCGAGGGGTCCCAGACTGCGAGAGGGCACAGGCCGGGCAGAGGGACCTCCCCCCACCCCCTCCGAGTGCACAAATTTTTGTGCACCGAGCCTCTAGTTTAAAAATAAACAGCAACACAAACCTGGCACCAACACACCAATACTCAGCTTTCCCCAAGTGGGGTACCCCACTAAATTGCAGCCAACGCTGTCACAATCCCATGGCACAAAATGTGACCCACAGCCCAGCCCAGCCCAGAAACAGTTGCTATAGGCGCCAGGTAATGACATCACGTAGCAGCGCCAACTTCCTCTCCCAAACCACTATCCTCCTTGGAGTTCCTTCAGCCAAGGAACTCGACTTGCTTTATAGCCAGGTGCAGACGTTTTACAGTTTAACCAAATGTTTGTGAAGCATTTTCACATTTGATCCTCATAGAAGTCCTGGAGTAGGTAGATAGGAGACTCTGTAGAATCCTATTTTCTTTTCATTAGCCAGAAAACAGAGATTTAGAAAGTTTAGAAACTTGACCTGACTGAAAAGAAGTAAGAAATGGTGGAACTTGAAAATGACTTCTGGTTTTCTCACTGCACAGAATATAGTTGAACACTGCTACAGTTAATTATTTCACGCTTTGTTTTCCCTGCATGATCTATAATAATAATCTGCTTCATGTTAATATTTACTGCTGTGTTGCTGATAGTTACCTGAAAGAGAAGTTGGGGTGCTTCACTGGGCTGGAAAAAGTTTAGCTAAATCAGAAAGTAGGTCTAATTAAGCAAGTTTATTCTATATCTATAAAAGGCTAAGTTGACTATAAAGCTCTCACTGGCGCCAGTCGCACGCGTGTGTTTCGATCTCTCATCGTCGATCCTGAATTTGGTTGACATTTCTATTATAGAGAAAGGGCGGATAGCGATATTAAAATATTTCTTCTAATTAATTTCCTTTCAATGTGCACAAATCCATGCACTGGGACACTAGTATGCATATAAGTTTTTGGTTGATCTCTTCCCACCCACCCACCCAGCCCAGCCTTCCCGCTGAGAAGTATCTTTATTTAGTTTTGACATCAGAGTAATGCTGATGGTAAAGCATGAGTTGGCAAATATCCCCTTACTTTCTCTTTTACTAAAGAGTTTGTTAGGATTTATCATCAAACCCATTGGGAGTGACATTTTCTTATGGATAAGTTTTAAACTACAAGTTCATTTAAAAACTATAGATCAGGTTCTCTGTCTTTTTGACTGAGCTTGGGTTTGTGTCTCTAATTTGTCCATTTCTACCAACTTTTAAGATGTGATCACATACTATTGTTCATAATATTCTCGTATTGTCCTTTAACATCGTTAGGATATGAAGTGATGCCCCTGTTTACATTCCCAATACTTATAACTCGTGTGTTCCCTGTCTTTTTTTTTTTTTAAATCCTCACCCGAGGATATTTTTCCATTGATTTTTAGAGAGAGTGAAAGAGAGAGGGAAAGACAGAAAGAAACATCGATGTGAGAGAAACCTATCGATTGGTTGCCTCCAGTGTACGCCCTGATCAGGGCCCAGGCCAAGGAGAAGCCTGCTTCTGAGGTACATGCCCTTGACTAGATCAAACCTGGGACCCTTCTGTTCATAGGACGATACTCTATGCATTGAGCCAAACTGGCTAGGGCTGTTCTCTCTCTGGTTGTTTTCCCTCATCTGTCTGGCTAATAGTATATCAATTTGATTATTTTTTTGCAAAAACACACACACCAAAAAAATACCTGCTTTTGATTTCATTAACTTTCTGCAATTTTTTTACTTCTCCAGTTTATAGATTTATTTGTTTATATTATTTCCTTTCTTTTGTTTACTTTGTTATATATCCTTTTTTCTATGTTAATGCTTTAGACATTTTTAACATAATATTTTTGCCTTTACTATTTTGTTTAATTAATTTTTATACCTATTTTTATTTCAATTACAGCTGACATTTAGTATTATATTAGTTTCACATGCACAGCATAGTGGTTAGACATTTATATAACTTACAAAGTGATAATTCCAGTACCCCTCTGGCACCATACACAGTTATTACAATATTATTAGTTATATTTCTTATGGTGTACTCTACATCCCCATGACCATTTTGTAACTCCCAATTAGTACTTCTTAATCCCTTCACCTTTTTAAATATAACCTTTAATGCTATAAATTTCTAAGAATCTCTTTTACTATAGTCCACACATTTTGATATGTGCTGTTTTTATTTTATTAAGTTCAAAATATTATTTCATTTCCTCCATTTTTTTTAAATCTATGGCTTATTTAGAATCATTAATTTCTGCTCATTTGTGACTTTTCTTTCATATTTTCCTTACTGATCTTTAGTTTAATTTTATTGTGGTTAGAGAACATACTTCGTATCAATTCAACCCTCTTAAACTTATTGAGCCTTGTTTTCTGATGTAGAATATGCTGTATTTTGTTGCTTCTTTTTTTTAAGTGTATGCTTGTAAATGAGTATTCTGCTGTTTTGAAGTTTTCTGTAAGTGTTGGTTAGGTCAAGTTAGTAATAGTGTTTTTTGTAAATCTTCTGTATTGTTACAGATTTTCTGCCCATTAGTTATAACAGTTACAACAATATACTTGTTGATATTCCCCAAGCTAATTGTATATTTGTTTGCTTCTCATTTCACTTCTATCAGTTTTGCTTCATATGTTTTTAAGCATTGTTATTACATACATAGACTTTTATGTGTTTTGTATCTTTACGTATTGATTCCTTTATCATTTTGAAATGCCCCTTTTTATTTCTGGTAATATTGCTTTTTCTCAAGTTTTGTTTGCTTTATGTGATATTAATGTAGCCACTCCAGATTTCCAGATTGTAATAAGTATTTATATATAATATGTATTTTCTATTATTTTACTTAGCTTTGTGTGTTGTTAATTAAAATTTGTTTCTAAGCTAGCATATATTTGGGTCTTATCCAATCTGAAAACCTGCCTTTTATTTATTAGATGGACCTTTTCACTTAATATGTTTACATTATTAGCTTTAAATCTATCATCATGCTCTTTTTTGCTATGTCCCACCAAACCCTTTATTTGTTTTTTTCTTCTTCTTTCCTTCCTACTTTTGGGTTGAGTTTTTAAATTTTCTGCTGAGCTCTATGTGCATACTGTTTTGTAGACCAGCTTTGTATTTGTAGATGAAGGCACTGGTTCTTTCCTATAGAAACATGTGGACTAAGTTGCCCTCTCAAATTACTCTTTTCTTTCTATGACTTTATGACAGCCTCTGCCTCAATTCATGATCAGGGAGAAAGGGTGTATTTTACAAGGGTGGGCAGAAGTAGGTTTACATTTGTGAGTACATGAAAAAGTTTGTACTTGTAGTATTCTTTATTAGTTATTGTATTTTCCATATGAACAACTCTAAAGCTACTTTTGTCCACCCATATATATATTTGACCTGTTCTTTTGAAATAAATCTTGAGGCCTACCCCTCAATGATTCTATTCCCCTCTTTTTATTTCCTCTCTTAGGAATTAGAAATTAAGAAGATGGCCAAAATTGGTAATAGAGAAGCTTGCAGAGTTTTAGCCAAACAGCTTGTACAATTACGGAAACAGAAAACAAGAACTTTTGCTGTAAGTTCAAAAGTCACTTCTATGTCCACACAAACAAAAGTGATGAACTCCCAGATGAAGATGGCTGGTGCAATGTCTACTACAGCAAAGGTAAGTAGAAGCCTTTATATCCATAGACTTGGAGTTAATCTAATATACTTAAATATCAAGATTCAAATCAGATTTTAAAACACTTCCTGTCACATATGTAGTATAGAATCTGTAATTTTTAGCAAAATGAGTTATAATATTAGATAATCCAGAAAACTACTTCTAGATTCTTTACTGATTTAATAAATTTTATAAAATTTCTTGTTTTAGGACATTTTCACTGTTTCAAGGTCACATGTAGCTTCTAAATTTTTTAAACTGACTGAAAATAGTGTTTGCTTTTATCTCTTAAACTGTCAGAGATTTGTGAGCTTATTTCATTGAGCTATACGTTTTGATTACTTTAGAGTAGTAATTTCCTCGTGATTCATTTTCATGTATGTGTCAGAAGGACACATGAATACTATTAGAAGGATTTATCAATTAATTGTAATAGGAACTTATGTTTAATTTTCAGTTTTTATATTAAAAACTAGAGGCCCAATGAATGAAATTCGTGCAAGAGTAGGCCTTCCTTCCCCCTGCTGCCGGCACCAGCTTCCCTCTGGCACCCGGGACTCGGGTTTCCCTCCGTCAGCTGGCAGGCACTTGGGACCCGGGCTTCCCTCACAGCCCTGGCTTCGTCAGGAAGGACATCCCATCTAATTAGCATATTACGGTTCTATTATTATAGATGTTTTTACTGTAAACCTGAAAGGACTGAGCATTTTTTAGTAAATAATGAGCTAGCTCCTTGATGCATGTGAAGGACTGTAAGGAACAAGAAGTTTAAGACAAAGACTCTTCTCTCACAGATCTTACAGTTCAGTTGTGGGGAGGGTGTTAAGATATGTCTGAAAAGGAAACTGCCCCTACTCATGAGTCTGTGCTGAGCTTCAGTGAATTGCACAGATCTTTGAATAGAATCATCCAAAATACTTACATCACTAGTTGTTAAATATGGGAAGGAGGAGTATGAATATGAAGAGCAAAGCGGGAAAAGCCAGGGAGAAGAGAAAGTAAGGTTCATATGAGGAAAATGGTATATACTTTTGATTCTCATTATTTGCAATAGTTAATGTTCTACAATGTTGGGAACACTGAATTAGTGAATATCAAACTATTGCTCTGAAGAGAAATGCAGGCTTAGGTTCTTGTGAGCCTTTGGTTACAAATTTTTGTCAACCAGTGTATACCTAAATTTGTTTTGTGTGTGTTTCTGTTGAAAGAAACCATATTTAATTGTTGATTCATTAACATTGAACTCATGGCTAACACTACTCATGTGTGAACAAAGCTAATTTAACAAAGTGTGTTTTCTCCGTAAGCACATCACGGCCTTGTAGCACTTAGGAACACTAAATGGCACTTTAGTATTATACTTGGGGACAATTTTAAACAGCAAAATCACCAGCAAAGGCACAAGAATGTGGCAACGAATAAGCAACAAAAAGGCCACTTGTTGAGAATAGCTGAGACAAGAATGCAGAATGCCGCCTGTTCCACCTCAGCTGAAAATGTGCAGGTTGGGCGACTAAAACTTTTGGTGCTCTCTGCATGCCCACGAATGAGCACAAAACTAAAAGTTTGACTTGAGGTTACAAATAAATGTTAGTGAGGAGGCAAGTTCAAAAATATGGAATCCAAAAATAATGAGGATGTCTGAATTGGAATTTTCACTTAAATTTCTTAGAAATGTGTTAACTCAGCAAGTATTGGTTTAGATCCTAAAGGGAAGAACTATACCAAGTAATGGAGATGAAATGGAAAACAAAACCAGGCATGGGCTTCACCTGTAGTAGATTACAGTCTATTTAAAAAGCAGCCCATTTAAGAGGTAGATTAGTGCAGTGATTAGGAACCTAAGTTCTGGGGCCAAATTACTTGGGTTCAGATCTCACTTCCACTTAACAGCTGTGTGACCAGGACAAGTTATTTCACCTTTCTGTGCCTTCATTCCCCATTAGCAATATAGGGAAAATGGTAGAACCTGGCACATAAAGATTTTTCAGATTTAAATGTCATTTAACTTTAAATATTAGTACATATAAAGTGCTTAGAACAGTGTCTGACACATAAGTTATATAGGCATTAACTGCTCTATTATTATAATTATTCTTATTATGTTATTTACAATAATAATGTAAGTTGCAAGTAAAGTATTCTAATTTACACGAATAAGTATAAAACTTCATGTATACCTAGTAGGATGTAATCAAGGTACATATTCTAATCTGGGATGTCAAGAGCTACTTCTTTAAGAAAGTGGTATATAAACTGAAATCTGAAGTGTTGTTAGTAAAAGCAAATGGAGAAAGCATTCCAGGTGAGAGGGAGCATATGCAAAGGTCCTGTGACAGGAGAGAGCATGACACATTTAAGGAAGTGAAAGAGCAGTGTGACTAGAGGGCAGCAGTGCAAAATGAGACTGGCTTATTAAGTAGAGTTCAATTAATATTTGGCCTCACAGTCCAATTACAGATTTTGGCTTTTAATACTAAGAGCAATGGGAAGCCATTGGAGAATTAGGTACGTGTGGATTGGTAGGGAAGGGGGGATATAGTGTCATACTTATAGTGTTAAGATTACTTGGGCTGCATCATTGTATACTGCTTGTCTGAGAAAAGAATGTATGCTTCACATCTTTGAAACAGTTATGTTTTATGTTGTATAGTATCTTTTAATACTGAACTCACTATATAACATGCAGATATATTATAAACTGTATATGTATATAAAATATTGTATCTATATTAGATGGCATTAACCTCTTTTACTGAAATAAGTTGTGAACATAAAATGTAAAAGAATTATTTTCACATATTTTTGCAAAATTCAGTGGTTTGTTTCTTCCTTTAAACCATGGTTTAAAATGTGTTAAAGGATTAAGTACATATGCTAGTGTATCCTTTTTACTTTATTTTTTTATATATATATATTTTATTGATTTTTTACAGAGAGGAAGGGAGAGGGATAGAGAGTCAGAAACATCGATGAGAGAGAAACATCGATCAGCTGCCTCCTGCACACCCCCCACTGGGGGTGTGCCCGAAACCAAGGTACATGCCCTTGACTGGAATCGAACCTGGGACCCTTGAGTCCGCAGGCCGACGCTCTATCCACTGAGCCAAATCAGTCAGGGCTCCTTTTTACTTTAGATATTAAGTTAATGATTTATAAAAATTAAATTAAATAATTTTTAATTTGGACATTACCTACTTACCACATAATAGTCAAATGTAGTTCTCTCATCTGAATAGTAATGAATTTTTTATTGACAGTGTTTTTTATTACATAATTTTTTGCCCACTGTTCAGATGAGGTCACACCAGTCTTTATTATATAGATGTTAAGCAGATGGTTTCCAATTGAGTATTTTATTTCTTTGTAGAATACTTAACATTTTTATGTTTGATTATGGCAGAAAGTGTATCTTGTCAAAGCCTGTGTCTATATGATGTGCTCTCTTAGGACTTATCCACAGTAAAATTTTCATGATTATGTAGTTGACTTGGACTTCTTCATATTTTAAAGACAATGCAGGCAGTAAACAAGAAGGTGGATCCACAAAAGACATTACAGACAATGCAGAATTTCCAGAAGGAGAACATGAAAATGGAAATGACTGAAGAAATGAGTAAGTTTAATAGTTAGGAATGAAACTTATAGTTTTCTCATGTTTGAATTAGCTAAGTCTGTTTCCTAGCAATCTCTTATTCTCATCCATGAAAGCACAAATATTGAAAAAAGAAATGGTTTATTATCCTTCTACTAAATAGGTGTCCATATTGTCACAGTATTGTGTTTTTAAATTGGCAATGTATATGGCTCAAAGTTCTATTAATGCTTAACTGAAGGAAAAATATAAACTATGTTATGCCATATTTCTATGCCATACTGGCCCCAGCTGCTTTACTTTATTGATTAGTAGAAATAAAATTAGTGCAAATAAAATAACTCTAATATAAATTGGGTAGTTTTAGATATGCATTGATTCTTTCATACTATATATATTGGAGGTAGAGATAATGGAGCTTTTATATTCTTTTATTTTTCCCTCCCAAAGTTATTTAATACTTGGTTTTCTTCTTTTTTAATATAAAACAATTGCAAATTATAGAACTATGGAGACTACAAAGGAATAAAGCATTTTTTAAAAATCTATCCTTTTTATTTTTTTAATTAAAAAATTTTAATGTTAACATTATTGCAGGTGTCCCCCTTTTCCCCCATCCTTTGCCCACATCCACCCACCCCCATGTCCCCCCCAACATGGCCTTCACCTCACTGTTGTCTTTGTCCATGGGGTATGCATATATGTTGTTGTTGTTGTTCTTTTTTTTTTTTATCTTTGCCCAAGGATATTTTTCCGTTGATTTTTAGAGCGAATGAAAGAGAGAGGGAAATATAGAGAGAAATATTGATGTGAGAGAAACACATCAATTGGTTGCCTCTTGCAAGTGCCCTGACCAGGGCCCGAGCTAAGGAGGAGCCTGCAACCAAGGTACGCGCCCTTGACCCGAAGCAAACCCGGGACCCTTCGGTCCGCAGGCCGATGCTCTATCCACTGTGCCAAACCAGTGAGGGCTTCATATATGTTCTTTAGTTAATCTCTTTACCTTCTTTATCCAGTCACCTCCAAATCTTCACATTACTCAGATATAGTTACTGTTAATGTTGTACGTTTCTTTCCTATATTTTTCCATATCTTATAATAGTTATTAGATCATATTACATTTGTAATTTTGAACCTTATTCAGCATTTTAAAAACATAATAGTATAACAACATGTGCTTATGACCTCGAATCTTCTCTGATGCCTTTTTTTAAAATGGCTTTGCCCTAGCTGGTTTGGCTCACTGGATAGAGCGTCAGCCTAGGGACTGAAGGGTCCCAGGTTCGATTCCGGTCAAGGGCATGTACCTTGGTTGCAGGCACATCCCCAGTAGGGGGTGTGCAGGAGGCAGCTGATTGATGCTTCTCTCTCATCGATGTTTCTAACTCTCTATCCCTCTCCCTTCCTCTCTGTAAAAAATCAATAAAATTATTTTTAATAAATAAATAAATAAATAAAATGGCTTTAATATTGCATAACATCAATATTAAATAACATCAACCCTAATTTATTGAATCATTCTTATAGTGGTTGATAAGATTGTTTTAAAATGTTTAATATATTTGATAATCCTTTCATAAATGTTTGTTTTATTTTTGTGTAAGTTTCTTAAATCTCCTTAGAATATTAACTTTTATAAGGCTTTTGGTTCATACTACCAAATTCTTCTCAGAAAGACTACTAGTATACCAGTCTCTATTTCACCAGTAATGAATGAGTGACCCTTTACAGCCTCCTGGTCAACATTGAGTTATTACTTACATATGTCAAAACTGGCATCATTGTTTTTCAGAGATGCTTTCTAATTCTTTTACAACTGTGTAAGGATATGCCAGTTTAGCTCAGCTAGCATTTTAATTTTACAGCATTCAGTGTATAAATACAATCTAAATAAATTACCAAGGTTACTAAACTCACTATTGTTCTAGTATTCTATTTCACATTATCTATTTTGCTTTTAGGATTTAATGATACTACGTGTCTATTTTTGATAGTTCAAAAAATTCTTTAGTTCTTTGAATGTTTATTTTGAAAAATATGATTTTTTGAAACATCATTAGTGAATTTTTAATGACTGTGAGAATTGTCATTTATATAATGATCACAGTATCTCACATGTTTATTTGGTTTCCAATGATGGCACAGGTGTGAGCAGATATTAGAGGAATTAACTTTTCCATTAAACTATAGTGAAGGGAATTAAGCTCATACTTATAATTCATATATCTTACAGTTGTATTTGTTTGTATGTTAGTACTTTGTGAGTGAGTCTGAAATGATAGTAGTTATTGGTTATTTTTTTTTCTATAACCTAATAAAGTATATCAACATTAGTTTTTTCAGCCAAAGATAAATTTAAAGTTTAAATGGACATCTTTTTAAAATTATAGTTTCTACTATGCAGTATTGCTCTAAAATGTGTTCACATTCCAGTTTTGGAAAAAAGACCTTTGTAAAATACTAGATCCTTGATTAATTTTGTTAGACTTCTTATGAAAACATTTTTCTCTGTTAACCCCTTATTAAAAATCCCTGGTCTTTCTCATTTGTCCCCTTCTTTCATTTTTTCCTGCTGCTACTTTTTCATTGAGGCCCTTATAAATTCTGACCTGGACTGCCCCCACCCCGGCCCCCCGCCCCGTATTACTTCCCTATCATTTGAGTATCACAATTGCTAAATTACTTTTATAGAAGCTAGAGGTAAGGTGAGTATGCTTCTTCAGTGGCTTCTTGCTGATTACAATAAAATCCCCACGTCATAAATCAAAAATAATTTTCAGGTCCAGTCCTGTTATTTTGCCAGTGAGAATACTGAGATCCAGACAGGTAAAGAAGTTGCATAGGTACGAAATGGTAGAATTGAGTTTAACATTCAAATAAACTGAATGTTAAACTCAATATATATGCCTTAAGCTCTTTAGCCTTTTCCAAATTTACTTTATACTATTGAGCTAACACAAGAAGCCAAATTCTCAAGTCATGCTCATACAAATCAGAGATCTTAAACAATATTAAGATTTATTAAGATGTGAAGGATACAAGCAATTAAAATGGACATGCAAAACAGGGAGAGGGTTGGGACATCTCAAATAACTCCTGAGATCTTTTCTTATTAGACACAAACTCTTTGACCCAGAATGATAGATGATGTATGTAATGAGGTATACTTATAATCTCATGTTGAAGGAAACATTTAAGATATGAAACATCTTGAATTTATACCTTACATGGTCACTTACCGTATGTGACATTTGCTAGAGAGTCATGGCTCATAAGCCCATAGATGATAGGTTTATTTACTATAGCCATCCTGAACCAAGGGCACCCTGCTGAGAGCAAGGACTCTCTTGCTAGCAGATATCTGTTTACCAGGAGCAGCATGCTTACTAGTACAGGGAGATCAGACTAGGTTACCTGTCCCCTTTCCTTTGGGGACATCCCCCAGTGATCAGGCGAATGATGTTAGGCCAGCTGCTTAATTGTTTCCCTCACAGCCATTTTCCATTCATGCACCTTAAATAACCAAACAGAAGAACCTACTCTTTCTTGCTGTTGCCTTTTAGCATGTCTTTGTTCATTGAATTCCCTCTGCTTCTGTTTGGTCAAATCCTATGCAGCCTTCAGCCTTCAAGGACCACCTCACATGTTACTGCCTCCCAGTTGGATATAATCTCTTCCCTTTTTATAATCATTCGTTTTTCTTTTTTTCTAATTAAGTGCAAACTACCTAAGATCTTCATTTTTCTCTATTATCTATCAATTGTATTTGTACCACGTTCCAGGCCCTTAGTTTCAAAGATAAATGTGACATATTCCCAAGCTTTCAGAAATTCCTTTCCCATAGCTCCTAACATAATGCCTTCTGTACAGAAGGTTTTCCATAAATATTTTAGGAAGGGAAGGGAGAAAGATGGAAGAGGGTATAGCAATAATAATCATTGTAGGGTTAAATTGGACATCATTCTTTGGACAAGTTTAATAAAATATTAAATCTTACACTTTGTTAGAATATTCTACATACATCTTGAATGAAAATTTTAAAAAGGTAAAAATATAATTATAGGTATAAAAAAAGTAAATTGAATCCCAAATATTTACAGGATATTGGATTCTTGCATATTCTTTCATGGTCAGGTTTAACAGCTATCAGCTGAACAGATTCAATTTGTGAAATCTTATTTAAAAACTTTAATCCTGTACCTGTGAATATCAGATAGTCCTAGTTTATTAAAGATGAATTTTTAAAAAATCAGAGTAGACTTGTGTTATTTTAGGATAATTTGTGTTGATATGAACATTATTCCAGATTTAGTGCCTCAAAATGTATTCATCAATGAACTTCATTGACATTTGAAAGTGACTTTTGTAATTTGTTGGTTCACCTAAGTTTTTCCTTCTGTAATATAACAGTGTGTGTGTGTGTGTGTGTGTGTGTGTGTATTTGGGCTGCCTTCTAAAAAGTAAATGTAGCCTGAAATCTGAAAGTAATTGCTTTTTTCTCCCCATCCTTTGAAGTCAATGATACACTTGATGACATCTTTGATGGCTCTGACGATGAAGAGGAAAGCCAAGATATTGTGAATCAGGTTCTTGATGAAATTGGAATTGAAATCTCTGGAAAGGTATGAACGTCTTCTTTTCTCAATTGGAAATAGTTCCCACTATTTTTGTCACTTAATTGTTTTAAGTTGTCTTTTACTATTAGATGCATGTTTTTATATTCGTTTGGAAAATAAATTAAACCTCTTTGCAGCACATCCTTTATGTCATAGTCCAAATGTTCAATGAGGCACATCTTTTTTTCTTTTCTCTCTTTAATATAGATGGCCAAAGCTCCGTCAGCTGCCCGAAGCTTACCATCTGCCTCTACTTCAAAGGCTACGATCTCCGATGAAGAGATTGAACGACAACTCAAAGCTTTAGGAGTAGACTAGTCAAAAGAGCTATAATACTTTGCTTATTTATAATTATTTAGTTATAATTATAAACCAGGCATATTGCCGATTCCTTTACAAAACACATTTATTTTGCAAAAATGAAGACCATGAGTGAACAGTTGTTTCCTAACCCATGGCTATTTTGAATTTTTTGCCAAAGAATGACAACGATGCAAAATGGGAACAGTTTGGATTTTAAGTAGAACAGTTTAGGAGTGATGATGTGTAAAAAGTTGACGACTTTTCTGCATGGCATAGAGAAATTATATTCATTACTTGTGTAGTTTATGTTCTAAATCCTTTTACACTGAATAAAAAAATCTTGTTAAATGCCACTAGGCACCAACTTAAAAAGTCTTGTAAAAATATTAAAAGTATGTCATTAATTCTATATCTGTTGCTTGTCTTGTAAGTGATATGTGTTATAACCATAAGCAAGTTAGTTGCCAAATTATTTTTAAATGGTCTGAAAGAAGAGTGCTATTTAAACAACCGTCTTAAATAAAAACTGTCGTGAGCTTTTCTTTTATTGTTTTTTCCCCCTTCGGGAGGATATTCAAGTTAATAAGTTTATTATCTTTCAAAATGTGCTTGGCACCTGCCTTAAACAGCACAAACATTGTGCACATCTTTAAATTATTTTAACTGACAGAAAAGAAATCCATTTTAAACTAAAATTGAGACCTCTTACAAAAACTGTCCAGGCTGTCTTTTGTAAAGCTTATAAAAGTGAATTGAATATGTTAGCAAAAACAGACACTGAATTAATAATATTTTGTAGTAATAGAATGGAATATTTTGGTCTTCTAAGAAGTGAGGAGATTTTTTCCACGTGACATATACTTTAATCTCTAATTTTGAACTGTATTAATGTGTGTATTGAACCCTCTAAATTGAAACCATCATTCTCAATTAAGTAACACTACGAAAATGCTCTAGGTAAATTTTAAAATAAACATTAGCACTTTTTTCTTGGTGAATAAACTACAACTTTGTCAGAAATTACTGCCTAAATGTGTGTCAATGTCTTAGCAGTATTTTTAAAGGTAAAATTGCATTAGTATTTAAAGTATATATAGAAAGTGAGAAGAAATTAAAAAGTAGCAGATTATAGAGATAGAATTTAGAATTAGGTTAGTTTTGAAAAATGATGTAATTATGGGTTCTAGCACATTCCACCATAAAATCCCTGGAACAGATTACATAGGTGTAACATGGTTAATTTGGGATGATGGACATTTTGGACTAATATTGACAACAATTCATTTTAGAACTAGTATACATGTGGCATATGCATTGGTGGAAAGAATGAAAAGCTAAATAATATAGTTTATAATCTACAGTCCATTTTATAACGTTCAACAAAAGGGTTCCATTGTTAGTAGATTAAATATAGTTCCTGAGAATCAATGGATCAAAAGATTTTACTGGATTATGGAATGTTAACCCAGAACTGTTTTGATTCTTGGATGTACATAATAATGCCAACTAACTTTAATTTACTTTTTTGTTTACATGTGGGGGCTTTTGTTTTTAAAAATTATTTTGTTAAAAAAATCCCAATAAAGATTTTTTGCTATTATGCTTTTATAAATCTCTTTTACTCTATTTTTGGCTTCTGCTAAGTTAAAAATTTTACGCATATCCGGTAATTTTTCAAAATAATGATTTTTATTTTTTTCCTGGAAAGAAAATTTGAGAACTCTGCTATTTATATTTTAACAAAAAATTATCTTTTTACAAGTTAGCTGTTGGTATAGGATTGATGTTTGTGAATGTTGTAAGCCTAAGAATTATGTGATTTCACATGAAATTGAACTGATCATTCCTTTCCTAGAACTTCCAGAGGATAAACATTTTAGAATACATTTTTAAAACAGACAAGTCTTAGTGATTTCTTTTATTTCAGTCAAACGTGGCTGCCAGGGGAGACTGGGAACCCAGAGGAGAAAGTAGAGTCATGATTTGGCTAAATTTATAAAATGCTCAATGGCAGTTTTCACAAGCACTATAATATTTTTTTTAATATATTTTATTGATTTTTTACAGAGAGGAAGGGAGAGAGTTAGAAACATCGATGAGAGAGAAACATAGACCAGCTGCCTCCTGCACATCTCCTACTGGGGATGTGCCCGCAACTCAGGTACATGCCCTTGACCGGAATCGAACCTGGGACCTTTCAGTCCGAAGGCCAACGCTCTATCCACTGAGCCAAACCGGTCTCGGCGCACTATAAAATTATAATACCAAGGTATCCTTTACTAAAACTAAAACTTAACCTTTAGGTCCCTTAAGATTAGGAAACAAGGATATTAGATATGAACAGAGCATGGAGGAGGTGCAGAAACTCACCAGGACAGAAAGCCCTGGATGCCTAGCAAGGGGCAAACTTGGAAAACAAGAACCTCGCCCCCAGGGTAACCTCTCCTCCCCTAGCATATCACTGGTCATGCAGTTTGGACCCCTGATCTTTCATATTGATGGTCAGGTGGTTTAGAACCCCTGACCTTTTCCTCCTTACAGATAATATCTAGGCCTCAGTTGTAAAGGGTGTCCCAAAATTCACGCAAGAAGTAATTTTGATAGAAAACGCAGGTTTATAGTTAAAATTGTAAATTTTTTATTGATTCATAAAGTATACAGTATAGGGTTATGTATGGAATAGCATATCGGGTAAATGGCCTCCACGGCTTTGCTGGCACATGCGCACTCATTATTGCCTGAGCAGCCGCATTTTCGAAGCAGAATGGTCCGATGGTGCCTCCAGCCCAAAATCCGCACCAAACAGTGACACATTGTGGATGCATTTGTTTCTCAACAATCACTCGTGGATTTTCTGAATCCCAAATGTGACAATTTTGTCGATTAACCAAGCCATCAAGATGAAAATGATCCTCATCGAAATTCAGCCACATTTATGCAAAACGGTCATGGAAAATTTCAACAAAAGAGTGCGTATGTTCCAGCAAAGCCATGGAGACCATTTACCCGATATGCTATTCCATACATAACCCTATACTGTATACTTTATGAATCAATAAAAAATTTACAATTTTTAATTATAAACCTGTGTTTTCTATCAAAACTACTTGCGTGAATTTTGGGACACCCTTTATTTCAGCTCCTGGCCGAGAAAAGCAGCAAAATCAGACCGATGGCACCCTGGCTGCCTCTGGACCTGCTACATTGACTAATGACCCCCCTGCCTTGGCACCAACCAATCAGTGGATACCTGGACCCTGGAAAGCTGATGGATATTCTATTAAGACCCTCCCTCCTGTGAGACCTTAAGATTTCCACCTGCAAGAGAGAGAGAAATATGATCAGGACAAAGGACCCAGGGTGTATGCTCTCTCCAAGGAGCACACCTGTGCCATTCCCTCACAGGCACATGTCCCCCAACCTCTAAGAGGCCCCAGGAGACTTGAAACCAGGGGAGCAATGGGTAGTGGCAGCTCATCCTGGGCTAAACCCTGAACCTGTCTCCAAAGCCCCCTTTTCTCTGACTTCTCTGAATCAAAGCAGCCCAGCCGCTCTCCTATTGCTTCTTCTATGCCCTTCCTTGTTTCACTGACCTCAGTACATTTTTGCTGCCATTATCGACCTAGTGACCCTTTGGCTCAGTGCTGTGCAGCCCTTCTCTTTGGTTATCCCATCCCCACCCCCTTTCCTCAAATTCAACTTTTCTTTATCCACCGTCTGAGATGGCTATTTGGCCTGCCTGTGCACCCCCACATTAACCTTTCAAAGGATTCTTATACATTGAGTTTGATGAAAATATTGACTTCTTTTAAAACTTTCCCTAACTTCCCATTTTTGGCATAAGTGTTTAACAACTTTTTCAAACAAGTGGTTACCCATGGAAAGAGAGCACAAGAGTATACCAGTTTCTATTACTAAAGAGGATGCAGCTCAGTGTCACTTTCTGTGGTGGCATATTTGTGGATGGAGATGTCAGAGTATCACAGTAGTAGAATGCGGTACAAGGGTGTCAATACTAATAGCACCTACTCTTTGAAAACCTAAGATAACCATCTCTCAGAGAACTGTGTTGTGTAGACCCATGCCTGAGGGGAGTACCTGTTTATGGCATGGCCTGGTGGAAAGGGGCTTAGTATTGTGACCCTATCGATGGGAGGGGGAATCTGGCAGCCAACGGCTGTATAGTATGTGACATGCACAGTGACATGTATTTTATTATTTGCATCTGAACACCTTTAGGGGAAGCCTGCACTCTCGCCTTGGCCACATGCACATTCCTTTCTAGCCCAGAAGCCACACTTCTAGCCTGATCGCCTGGGCCTAATTTAAATATGTATTCCTTTCAGACACTCCCAAACTGCAATGGTGTGTGTCCAGGTCTGAAAAGAGACCTATGATGACTTTCTCCTTTGATGGTATTACTCTGCATGAATAGGTGTTTGCAGCCATAGAACAACAAATCAGCTTTCAATTTCCTCTCTGTACAAGCTGAGTCCCACAGGGACTCACCTTAATTCCTCCAAGAGTCAATTGGATTGAATTTGCCTTAGAGGAAGCCTGAGGATTGTGAAGTCCGATTTTAGATACACACTCCCCTCCCCAGCCTCCACCATCCTCCCAAGAACTTGAAAACACACACACACTCCTCCCATCCCCAAACACTGAACATATTTCTTTAACTAAATAAATCTTTCCACCATTAGAGATGAAAAGGTCAATTCTGTGAATGAGTTTGTCAGCCACTTCTACCCCGTAAAGTTGAATGTACCAATCAGTACAAGTGACAAATAGATGTTTCCTTTTTAATGGACTACTCTACTAAATCCTGAGGATCTCCATGGAAGAGCTCACAAGAACATCAGGTCAAGAGGCTGTATGGCTAAAGTAGGCTCTTGGTATTGACTCCTGAAAGAAGCAACACATAGATACTACACAGTAATTTACATTGTTATTTAATTACAGTTTAGGATTCTAAATAACATTAACAATCTTTTATTTTTAAAAAATATCAATATAGAAAATATAATTCTAAAACTAGGTAATACAAATGAGTTGATAGTAAATAGCAGTGCATTTACTAAACTAATTTTTGACTAGCTAAGTAAAGAGTATTATGCTAAGTGAAATAAGCCAGTCAGAGAAAGACAAGTATCACATGATCTCACTCAATTGTGGAATGTAATGAACAAAATAACTAGTGAACAACATAGATCCAGGGACATAGAAGCATGGAACAGACTGTTGAATCTTAGAAGGAAAGCCCTGGAGTGTGGGTGGGTGGGAAGATATTAACCAAAGAACTTGTATACATATATGCATAACCCATGGACACAGGGTGTGGTGAAGGCCTGGGGATGGGGGCAGGCTAGAAAGTGCCTATGGGGGGAAAGGGTGACATATGTAATACTTCCAACAATAAAGATAAAAAGAGAAAAAAGAATTGCTATTTCAATATTAAATACTGATTGAAAATAATTCCTTTTAGGGAGAAAAATTGGTTCCCAATGCTAGTTGTATCTAAACTTAAAAAGAGTGACCTTATGGGTGAATATTTAATAATACGGTACAAACATATCTACACTAATAAAAGAGGAAGATGCAAATTGACCTTACCTTCGTGACACCCACCAGCCTATCAGGAGTGAGTATGCAAATTAACCCAACAAAGATGGCGGGTTAATTTGCATACACAGGTGCCGAGCAGCCAGGGGTGGGGTGGGACGTTTGCGTCATCGCCATGGTGACGACGCAGGCGTTCTGCACCACCCCAGCTGCTCCGGGCCTCTGGGCAGTGTGAGAAGGTGGAAAGGTGGTTCTGGGCCAGAAAGAAGGCAAAAAGGTGGCTCCAGCCAGAGTGAAGGTGGTGCCAGCAGCCAGGGGAAGGAAGGCCCATTCTTGCATGAATCTTCATGTGGGGCCTCTAGTATATGTGATAATTATCTAAGCCAGTGGTTCTCAACCTTCTGGCCTTTTAAATACAGTTCCTCATGTTGTGACCCAACAATAAAATTATTTTCGTTGCTACTTCATAACTGTAATGTTGCTACTGTTATGAATCATAATGTAAATATCTGATATGCAGGATGGTCTTAGGCGACCCCTGTGAAAGGGTCATTCGACTGCAAAGGG